CTGTGCGGCGGCGCAGCAGCGTCGATGGCCCTGTCTTCTGCTGCGCACTCGGGCCCCCGTTGCAGGCCCGTAGCAATTTGCTTACATTCGGCCTTCCTGCGTTGGTGTCTGTCCTCGGACACTCATTTGAGAATCCATGGTCCCAGCTCGCGTCACGACCTCTCGCCGCGTAATCGTCGGTGGGTCCTGCCTCGTGTCGGTGAACATGGTTGCGTCTGTTGAAGGTCGATCCACCATAACTGACTCAGATACATACCCCGGCATGACCCAAGATCAGTTCGTATTAACCGAGTTAGACCGATACTCCCGTATCGACCAAACCCAGTCCGTAACAGCCGACTCAGCTGACAATCGTCGTGTCAACCAAGCCTAGCCCATAGTAACTGACATGGCTAGGCACCGTAATGCCAACCAAGACCAGTCCGTAATAGCCGAACCGGACCGACGCTCTCGCGTCAGCCAATTCAGCCCGTAATAACCGACTTAGCCGAACACCGTTGCGTCGACCAAGCCTTTTTTTTTACGTGTGGAAATCCTTTATGGATACCCGGGCCCCCCTCTGGGAAGGGAGTTTACAAAGTGGCCCGGGTTATGTGGGACTGCCCCCCTAGTGGCGATCGGGTGTGGCCGCTGGCATTGCGACCGCTGGGCTTACCGCACTAAAACCACACGGTGACCTGCGCGGTGCTGTAACTTGGGGGACGCCCAGGACTTGGCAGAGCCATTACTTCTGGACGCCCCCCGCACCGGCCCGCCGTTTGACGGGCGGGCCCTCGCGCACCCTCCCCCGGTGTTATGGGGGGAGGGGGGACTCCCCCCGCGGGGGGAGTCCACTACTCTTCTGGACGGCAGAGGCGGTCACAACCTCCACCGCCCGCCTCCGTGGAGGCAGGGCCTGACGGGAACCCCAGCCCGCCAGTCCCAGGCCACCTCCGGCGGCGACCAAGCCTAGTCCGTAATGTGAATATCATTCATTCACTCGTCCTGAACCGTGATCCACGGTTTCATCCGGTCTGCTGCTGCGACCGTTCGTTTCCGCCTGTGTCCCTCGCGTAAATCTTCTACCTCATAACGATCGTTAATCAGTACCTTGCGAACTCGGAACGGGCCCTTAAACTTTGGATATAGTTTTCGGCTAGTGCCCGTGGCTGGTTCGCTCGTGATTTGTACCAAAACCAGGGTACCCTCGTCGTATTTTGTTGCATCCCGGCGCGTCCGGTCGTAGCGCTCCTTTTGCGCGCGTTGTTCCTTGCTGGTATGCGCCTTAATGTCGTCGCGTAACTCGTTAAAGTCCAACCGATGCACCACGTCCTGTATTTGTGATAGCAGCGGCGCTTCAGCGGCGCTTCGAGTCTCACAGCCAATGAGCGCTTTCGTTGGCGTCGTATTTATGCCCTTGTTGTAAGTTGTGTTCAAGGCACTCTGGATCTTCTTGACGGCCAAATCCCAATCACGCGGATCATGTCCGGCTGTGGTAGTCGCCAGGGCTTGTACAATCGTCTTATTGTACCGCTCGCACTGACCGTTGGCTCGTGGTGTGGCCACAGCGTTCAGCACGTGTCTTATTCCGTAGGTATTGCAAAATGTGCGAAACGTCTGGGACGTGAATGTTGTTCCTCTATCGCTGATGATTCTGCTAGGAACTCCGAACAAATGAATTATGTCAGTTAAGATCTTGACAACATAACTTTTTTTGACTTTTTACCGGCTCGATAATCGTAAACTTGGTAAATGCGTCTACCATTACCAGAAGATACTTGTTGTGCTTCCGACTCGTTTCGAAAGGTCCAACGTGGTCAATATGCACCGTGTGAAATGGTACAGGTATCTTCTCAATGATATTTAGTTTGCATTGTTTCTTACCGGCTGTGTTCTTATAATATGCGCAGTTTATACAAGCGCTTATATATTTGGTTATAAAACGTCTCATACCTGCGAACCAGTAGTTACGCTTAACACGTTCTAGCGTCTTTTCTACGCCAAGGTGTCCAGCGTCATCGTGGCACAACCGGCAGATTTGCATCCGTGCATCTCGCGGCACTACCCATGCCTGAGTATGGTCGTCCAACCGCCTGTATACCTTATCGTCCTTGAGGAGATATTCCTTGAAGTAATGCTTGGTCTCGTTCGTTCTCTTCTTGTCCAACAAGATCGTCCGTATACGTGATATCTGATCGTCCTGTAGCTGGGCCGCCAGTACCCAATCACCCTCGGTTATGTCGACCTGCAATACTTCTAATGATACTTGAATCGGGTTGCGACTAAGTGCATCCACGTGCGCCATCCTAGTCCCGGCACGATGCTCGATCTCGAAGGTGTACTCTTGTACCTCCAACCACCATCGGCCAATTCGTGGAAGTAGGTCCCGCTTGGCGAAAGTCGTACGTAAGGCGTTGCAGTCGGTTACGACTTTAAACTTTGTGCCCAAAAGGTAAACTCGGAAGTGTCGCATGGCAAATACAACGGCCATCGTTTCCAATTCGTAGGAGTGATAGCAACGCTGGTCAACAGTAGTGTGCCGACTATAGTATGCTACCACCGCCATCCCACCATCGACTCGCTGCAACAGAATAGCTCCTATACCAATCGCGCTCGCGTCAGTATGTACTTCTGCAGGGATCTCCGGGTTAAATATCGCCAACACCGGTCGTGTAGTCAATTTAGTTTTGATCGTATCAAATGCTCGTTCATGTTCGTTTTTCCACTCCCAATGCGAATTCTTCTTAGTTAGTCTTGTCAGAGGCTCAACGATCGTTGCAAAATTTTCGACGAACCTCCTAAAATAGCCGGCCAACCCTAAAAACTGGCGTACCTGTTTTACCGACTTCGGCGCTTCCATATCTAACACGGCCTCGATTTTACGTCGTCCAGGTCGAACCCCGTGTTCGCTAATTTCTCGCCCTAGATATTCTATGGACCTCGTGAAGAAAAAACACTTCTCTAGCTTTAAAGTCAAGTGATGTCTACGCAACGCATCCAATACCTGTCGTAATCGTACCATGCCCTCCGCTATAGTCTTTGACGGTATAATAATGTCATCCAAATAAGGGAACGCAACCTTTAAATCGCCTAATACGTTGTCCATCAAGCGTTGAAATACTGCTGGCGCGTTAGCCAGTCCGAATGGCATACGCAAAAACTCGTAGTGGCCCTCCGGTGTCACGAACGCCGTCTTTTCTATTGACTCTGCCGCTACCGGCACCTGATAGTACCCTAAAGCTAAATCTAACCCGGTAAAATACCGATAGCCCCTTAGCTTATCAATTTGCTCCTCAATCAACGGCATTGGATATTTGTCCTTAATTGTGACTAGATTCAACTTCCTAAAATCCACGCACATACGATATTCACCGTTCTTCTTTTTCACAAGTAAGATCGGACTAGCGTATGGCAAATTTGATTCCCGGATAATGTTATTAGTTAAAAGTTCCCGGATAATCCCTCTTACGACTTGCTTCTCAGCCTCTGCTAAACGATATGGACGATAGACCACAGTAGGTCTTTTATCGAATACGCCACGCAATCGCGAAATTCTCGGATTAAATCTACGCACGCTGGCTTCGCCTCCTCGCTCTCAACATTGATGTTCACCGCGTCGTTTGTAATTTCTGCAAAGTTTACGTCCCCGATAGCCTCGAGTTCCGTGTCAAGTGTAGGCAATTGTTCGAGCGTTAACTTATTTCCCCGTTTTATAGAGACAATGTGCTCCTGTTCTAAGAAATCGCGGCCGACTATGATGTCGTAAACGAGCTGGTTATCCGGTACCACCACGGCGTCAACCTGGGCGGTCGCGTTCATGACTCGAATATTGCAAGCTGCCGCCTGATTACTCGTTGCGACCTGCCCTGCAAAACCTCTTAGCACGGGTGTAATGGATATCGGTATATTCCATCTTTCGGCAACAGATTTTCTTAGTAAGCTACAGCTACTTCCCGTGTCTAACAGCCCGTCGATTTTATGCCCGTTCACAATCACCGGCCTTTCATACAAATTCGCCGAGCGTTTTCGTTCCGTTACGGCATTCACGTCCTTTCTAGAAGCGCATTTATCGGCGTTGTGTCCCAAGCGGTGACACTGTTCACACTCTATGCGAGGCATACGACATTTCTTCGCGATATGACCCTCCTTACCACAATTAAAACATTTTACCGCATTAGTATTACCGTCTGTTGGTTTGGTGTTTTCGTCCTCCTTAACTTGCGATTGATTTATCGCGCGCCCCGACGATTGACTTTTTCGCTCGTTTCTAAAACTAGACATCGCCGCGGTTTTGTTCTTCTCACCTTTCGAAGAAAGATTACCTAACGTCATCATATAAACGTATAACGCGTTCGCGTCGCAATGTTGAGCGGATCGTACGGTTCTAGCTACACTCTCGTCAGTGATTCCGCCGATTACTGCATCAATAAGATACTTGTCGGGTATAATGTCTAACTTACGCATTTTGTTCAGTTTCTGAAAGCAATAATCCCCGAGTGCTTGACCGGGTGCACTTTCGTACAACGCGGCTTCCTTGAATAATTTGCTGAAAGGGACTGACTTACAGAATTGTTGTTTAAGGGATTCTTTCATTTCCGTCCACGTGATAGCCAGTCGTGGTCGCGTATCGTACCATTGTCGTGCATGGCCTTTTAGGCGACCCGGCCTTTTAGTCGCATAACGGCCGTGTCGTCCCAGTCGTATTGCGTGGCTAAGTCGTCCACGTGCTCGATCCATTTTTCAATTACCAAATCCATCCTTCGATGGATCGAATATAGGTATCATCTGCTCGTCTCCTCGATGAATGCACGAGCCTCGTGTGCTCGATCGTCGATCCAAACTTTCTACTATGCGTTCCAGTCGTTCGAAACGCTCTTCTCTTTGCCTCTTATCCTCGTGCGATGACGGGGAACGTGCATGGCGGTCTCTTCGTCTCTTATCCTCGTGCGATGACGGGGAACGTGCATGGCGGTCTCTTCGTCTCTTACCGCTTTCTTCACTGTCCCGACGCGACGTGACTTATGGCGACCCATCTCGTCGCTACCGGCGTAGTAATTCTATTTCAATAGGCCGATCAACTATAGGCACGTACTCGTTCCTCGTGTATCCCACTTCTGATATGTAAGAAAATACGTAGAGTAGGTAGAGCTATATCGCAGGAACTTTATTCTCGTGTTCAAACTATAAGCTTTCCGTTCGTCCGAATCGGTTCTCGACAAAAGAATCGTGTACACGTGCGTCGTCACTGGTTTTTACGTGTCGAGTCCGGTCCATCCCCTCCACGTCAAATCCTTGCGGCGGCGCAGCAGCGTCGATGGCCCTGTCTTCTGCTGCGCACTCGGGCCCCCGTTGCAGGCCCGTAGCAATTTGCTTACATAGGTTTTTTCAACTTTAATCAAGATATACTCACATTTATAGTTTTATGTATCAATATTTGCAGGTTATGTTCATAGTGTTGTGTATTAAAATTCGATATGAAAATTCTAATGTATATTTTATGTTGCTCTCAATTCTCTAGTATCACTTCATAGCTGATATGTGGGAAAAACCACGCGTAGACGGAACAAAAAAATTGAAATGTAATGCTGTCCCAACAATATTTGGAGATTTAGTGTATCAAGTGAAGGAAAAAGTTAATGAAAGTTAGTGTGTAATAATTATTATCATAAAGATATCACCAGTGCAGTAATGATTAACAGGTACAATTTCTTTTTAGAAGTTGTAATAGATGTTGACACAGAAGAAATTGTTTTAGTACAAACAGATTCTTCGACAAAAGAAGTTCATATACTTCCAAATAAAAGAAATTGTGAGTTATCTTCCATCACATCTGAAGTTGTTATAGAAAAATCTGAACTACCAGAACCAATGAATACAGGTATGTAGTATGCTTTGTTATGCTTTGTAGTTATGCTTTGTAGTTATGCGTTGTAGTTATGCTTTGAGTTCTTCGCTTTTCTTCATTTGGATTTTATAAAATTTATCTTCATTATTTAACCTTCTAAACTTTGTCTAAATATTTAGATGTATTAGATGATACCGAGCAAGAGCAACATCATTCACAAATACTTAGTAGTACAGAAATCTTGAAAGATCAGATAGAACATCCGATAAAAAACGATTTAAATAATACAGAAGAAGTAAGCGAGGATAATCAACAGCAAGAATGGAA